CCACATGCCACAGGCCCGGTCTGCAGCAAGACCCTGGCATGCAAGATTCCACACGTCTCCAGGATCGTGGTTCTTCACAATTCAGAAGGCAGAAGACTTGTCACCCCTTCTCTCACTCACACACACCTCCCGGCAGGCAGACCGGGGCCTGCCACGGCGAGGCGGCTCAGTTTCTGGGGAGCAGAGAGAGACAAGGACAAGGACCGCCGGCCAGTGTGGAGGGAGCGTTACAGCCTGAGCAGGAGGTCGGAGAGCTGATCTTCCAAATGCCCCTTTGTTTGTGTACCCCCAACAGGAAAGCTCAGCCCCTAAGAGGCGCCCAGGGGAAGGGGCTGATGTGATCAAGAAAATAACGTCTCCAGAGTGACTAATGCCCCACTGGGACGGGCTTGACTCGGGCCTGGCTGCCTGCCACGGGGACCACAACCACTTTCCAAGGACATGGAGGGCAAATGTTCCTGACAAGATTCCCTGAGGGCTGTCCCTTCCCAGCCCTGCCTCTCCTGGGGGCTCCCCCAGGGGCCCATGAAGCCCTGAGTAAGGACATCCAGGGGCCCAGAGGCTGAGTCACTCCCGTGGGGGCAACCTGGGTCATAACAAGTTCGTTATTTCAAGGACAAGTTCTCAAAGCCCTTATCCAACCACGTATGCACCAGATGGGAACCGGGAGGAGAATGTCCATAAGCAGTTGTGGGAGACAGGCCTCAGCCCTAATCAGTTTCCTCTGGGTCAGAGGCCCAGAATGCCCTGTGCATATACTTTCAACACACATGGAAGAGGCTCTTCCCTTGCACAGCCCCCGGAGGGGGGCGGGTATTTCTGAGGGGGGAGGGCACCCCACCAGCCTTCAGCTCTCCTCAGCAGGCCCCAGGGAGCCCAAGGCAGAGGCCGCCTACAGAGCCATTTTCTCTGTCTGCCATCCTTCAGAGTCTAGGGAGGGGTGGGGCCGCAGGAGGTTGGGGGCTGGAGCAGGGGGAGAGGGGGGAGGACTGGGAAGGCGGGGAAGGGGCAGCTGGGCAGAGCCGGGTCACCCAGGCAGGAGGCCACAGAAGGGAGCTGTGGATTGCTCCAAGTTTTTGATGTGCCTGCTAGCAGAGGGGGTGTCTAAAACCATTTCAAAAGCTGGGGGAGGCCCAGAGAAGGGGCCCTCATTCTTTGTGGGGAGGGGGAATTTCAAAGGAGACCATGCTGTTGAAAAGGTTTCAAAAGACCCTTGCCTTTCTACCAGCTCCAAATCACTCCTTCCTCAGCGGCCGCCAGGGGAGGGTGCTGGGGAAATGTTTCCAAGGAGACGTGGCCCTGAGTCATCATAACTCTCAGGGTCTGGAGGCTGCAAAGCCACGAAGAGGCCCCCTGCTATAAAAAGGCCAGTTTAGAGTCCCCCAGGGGAGGTCTCCGGCCGTCTCGGCCCCTGGGGAGGCCTCCCTCAGACCCCCGGTGCCCCGAGTTTATGAGAAGGCCGCCAAATGAGCAGGGCCACTTCTACCAGCTGAGTCCCCTTGGTGCCACTAAGGGGGGCTTTTACCCCCGCTGACTCAGGGCGGCCACTCTGGGCTTGGGCCACTTAGCAGGGGAAACCTTCCACAGGGACGCTGGGCCCCAACACTTTGTATGGGGACTGGAGAGCCAAGTTTCTGTACCGACCTCTCTTCCGGTCACATTCCCAAGTCACCAGCGCCCGCACGCACACAGCTCAGGCCAAGTGTGAATTCTGTCGCCTCCTTCCTCACCTCTCCCAGCCTCGTGCCCTCAGCCCTAGGCCAGGCCAGGAGGCTCCCTGTCAATACCGCAGCCAGATTCATCCTCCTCAAACACTTAGCTACACCCAGGCCAGTTCTGCTCCACAACCTTCAGTGGCTCCCTAGGCTAAGTCCAAGGTCACACGCTCTGGTGCAGATGGGGACACAAATTTTCAAAAGCACACACAACTACATTCGAGACAAGCGGGGCTGTGGTGCCCGGGAAGACGCAGCTGGGCTCCCTGTGCCACGTGCAAGTGTGGGGCCCTGGCTGCCACCCCTTCTGGTTTTCAAGAGGCGCCGAATAAAACATTAGCTGAAGGGTTCCCAGATTTGGGCCTAGAGAGCAGATCAAGTCCAAACCCCTTAACCAGGCTTGCAAGGTCCCCCATGGGCCAGCCCCAAGCTGCCTCCACACCCTCACTGCCTTTGATGCCACTACATGAGATGCCTCCAAGGGACCCCCATCCCAGACAACTTGGGGCGCCCCCCTCTTTGCTTCCTGCTCCCTCTGCCAAGGACAGCCCGGCAGAGGACTCTCTTCTCCAACACCCAGACCTTGCTGACAGGCCATGTGCATCCGGGGGTCCCTGCTCTGGAAGCAGCAACCTCGCTGCACTGTATTAGCTAGGGGCTCACCAGCCTCCCCGTGCACAGGGTCCCCAGGGGCAGGGCTGGATGTCTCTAGCCCAGGCCCTAGCAGAGGAGCCGGGAGAGTGGAGACAGTGACTTTGGCTCAGCCCTTGGCTCTGCTGCTCCCGGCCGGGGAACTTGCTAAAGTTGCTAAACCTCCGTTAGAAGGATAAAAGCTGCCTACACCTACTGCCCCTGGTGTGTTAAGTGCAGCGCTTGGCAGCTGTTGGCGCCCTTGCCCAACGGTGCCTTCCCATCCCAGCCTGGTGTGTGTGCTGTGGGGTCCTCTGTGGGGTGCTGGGGTCTCAGAAGGCAGGGGCCATGTCAATGCTGAGATCTTTGGTAGGTAGAGGATGAACAGGTGAGGGGGATGAATAAGAATGAGCGATGAGCTCTCCCTGGTGGCGCAGGGGTTAAGTCTCAGCACCACCAAGCCAGCCGCAGCCACTGAAACATGAGTTTGATCTCCAGCCCTGGAGGTGACCCACATGGCCTAGCAGACCTCTCCTGGCCCGCCCGCTGCTCCTCTCAGCAGTGTGTTTCAGTCCATCTGCCTGTTCTGCTCCCCACTCTGTCTCCTCTGTCTCTGGTGGAGCTTCTCAACCCCCACCGCCCCACCTCTGGCCTCCACCCTAGCAGCTCTTATATGCATAAATAAATAAAAATAAAACTTAAGAAAAAATTTAAAAAGTGAGAGGTGGCCCCTCACTGCCACCAGAGGTGTGGCTTTAGGGGGGTCCCCAGCCACACAGAGAGGCCCATACAGGGAGACTTTCTGAGACTGAACCATCATCTCACAGGCGCTGAGGAGCGCAGGTCCCATGTGACCTAAACCCAGGCCAGCTCCCAGCACTGCCGAGTAGACCAGGCAAGGGCCCCTGTGTAGTCACCAGAGAGGACTCCTCCGTCACACAGAGGCCCAGAAGCCCCCCAAGCTGTCCTTTCAGACCCCTGCAACTCTAGTTAAAAGCAACCCTTCGCCTTCTGCCTGAGGACACGCAGCTTCCAGGCTGTGCAGGAGAAAAAGGCAGGAGGAGGGCGGAGGTGGGGGTACCTCGAAATCACTGCAGTCCAATTAGCCAGCTCTCGCCCTTGTGCTTACAAACACGAGCTCACATTAACACCTGCTACCAAAGCAAACATTTTTAGATATCTTCATCTTCAGCGCCTCGACACACTCGTGTGAAAGCATCCAATAACTGACAGGGTCGTTTCCTTCTTCGGCTTCAGCAGGGGGCTTTCAAATCAAAGAAATTAAAAAGCCACCCATCTCTCCTTGTCAGGCCCAGGGCCCTACCTGCCCCTCAAGGCTCCCCACGCCCTCACCGCTGGGCGAGCGCCGCCACACACAGTGGGGGCCAGTGCCTCGGGGGTGCGGGACCCAGGCCCACCGACCACACAACACTGCAGCGAGGTGGGGAGCTGGCCTGACCCCAGCATCACTGCTCCTCTGCAGGCAGCCGACCTGCGGCAAGGGCCCCGAAGCCACCGTGCGAGTGTGGGGTCAGGGCCGCTTAGGAAACTTGTCAGCACCTACTGAAAGGCCCCAACTCACAACCTGTGGCCCGCCGCTCCGGGCTCTGAGATTATGCCACTGGGGCAGAGGGCCCAGGCCCCTCCTGCCAGCAAGGACGTGCCCCACTGGCGCACCACTGGAAACAGCTGCAAAATGGAACCACCCAGAAGCCCACCAAGCGCAGAAGCAAGTAAGGGAGATGTGCTCACCGGGTGGACAGTCACGCGTGAGAAGGCGCAGGGCCACCGACAAGCAAGTCGCCAGAGCAAAGGCAGCGGGGGGCAGACCCCACTGACGTAAAGGGCAAAAGGCGGAGGCAGCCTACGCCCCGGAAATCAGAGCATGAGAACCTTTAGCTGGTGGGGGGTCCTGATCAAGGGGGCGTTGGTTACTCTGGGGGCTCTGTTCCAAGCGCTCACAGAGTTGTACACTTGGGAGGATTTGTTCTGAATGTATGCAGTGGGCATGTGGAAAACAGTGCCGTCTGTCGGCGTGGCTGTTGTAAAACTATAAAGAAAAGAGCTTACAGGAAGAAAAGCGGGGGCAAGTTCAGGGTCAGGAAGCTCAAGCCTCATTGTTCAGACCACAGAGGCCTTGGAGAAGGTGATCTCCAAAGACCTAGAGCATCTAAATTCCAGAAGCTGCCCTCCTTGGCCCCATGCTCACCAGAAATCCCCCTGTGCTCTCAATGTGGGGGTTGCAAGGGGGATGTATGGACACCCCTCTACGGGGGAACCCACACCCAGCAAGTTCTTTACCCTTCCTCGGAGCGTCGGGCCAACTGAAGCTCCCCTCCTAGAAAGGCTGAGTGTTCCAAAGTCCAAAACCACTTGAAGAGGAATAGGAAAAGGACCGAAATAACTTTGCAAGCCTTCTGTTTTGACAATGTGCCTGAGGAATTCACACGCTTAGTGGAGAAATGCGAGCAGTTAAATCTATTCAATGTCATGACATACGAAATTGAAGCATAATTGCCCCTGAGTGCTTGACAACTGGAAAGCACTTTGTTTCAGAAATGGAGGGAAATTTATGCTGGGAAATGGAAGCGACTGTCAGAAGTCTGACTGTAATGCGAGCAGAGTCGCAACAAGAAGGCTCCAATGGGGAGGGCGCTACAGCCTGACACTCCGGATCCCTTTGAAATGTCGCAGCAAAGGCGGCTGCGGCTCCGTCCTCCGCCCTAAGAGCCAGAGGCGGGCGGTGGGAGCCGCAAGCTTGGGGCCGAGCGGCTCCGGCCCAGGAGCGGGAGAGGCTCTTACCGATCATGTGGTTGGCAACATGGATTTGGATCTCTCTCTCGTTCTCGAAGGTCATCTGGCACTTGATGCACTGGTATGTCTTTTTCTGTTTGGAAACCAAGAAGAAAATGAATAAGACCATTAGAGGGTGGAAAAGAAATGTGAGAGCAGAAAACAGAAGTTCCTAGAGACCCTGACGTGAGTCCCCAGGAGGGCGCTGGGCCGTGCCAGGTCTCACTGCCTCTGGAGCCAGCCCTCCTGTCGGGGCAAGGGGCGGACTGTCCAGCCTCCATTCAAGGAAGCTGCTTCTCTGCAAGTCCCAGAGAAATAGCCCAAACCAAGGTGAGAGCGCAGAGCAGAAGCACGGAAAGGAAGGTGAAGGAGCCTGGCCTGCTGGGAGCAGGCCCCTTCCAGCTACCTATCTTCCACCTTTCTGCCCAGACACACGCACGCACACGCAGTCACCCATCTGCACACCCAACCAATCATACACACATGCATCCAGCCAGCCACTCTTCCTTCCTTCCTTCCATCTATCCATCCATCCACCTACTCTCTCTCCTTTCCACATGTCCTATGAATATGCGGCCAAGCACACTGCTCCTGCCAACTGTGGTGTGATTCCTCACATCCACCTCAACGATGGGACCCCAGGTGGATCTGAATGGACAAAGAGCTATTACCAGCTGACTCTGGGAGTGGGGCAGAAATAGGGAGCTCATCAAAGTGCCTCAAAGCTTCTTGAAGACCTACTGCAAAGAGTGGCACTCACTCTCACCACGAAGCCTCCTGTGGACTGAGGTGGCATTAGCCCAAGGACAGGAGGGTCGTGGCCGTTGGTTAGAAGAGGGAGGAATGGTTCAGGATACAAAATCCCTAAGGTTGAGGACTCTCTAGACCTCTGAAAAGGGAGTGCGACTTAGGTTTTGGCTGCACACTCGGGCCACACTCTCAACAGTGCAGCCAGAGTGAATCACCAGGCAACATAGACACAGCACCCACACCTGCAGCTCCTGGTCTCTCACTCCAGGCCGCTGTCTATGCTGTGGCCTTGAGGGTTCAGTTCAGATGTCACCTCTTCTAAGAAGCCCACTCTCACCACAGCAAAGTTGAGGGTCTCCCCAGGGCCCCAAGCTTACACAGAAAGTGTCAAGTTAATCAGTACATAGCATTGTCTAGTTTGTTCTAGTTTGTTCCTGATGCACCATGAGCACCCAATGGGTCAGGATGTGCTTTGTCCACCACCTGGGTCCCAAGGCCACAAAGACTAAGTGTTTGGGATCTGTTGAACAAATGAGCAAAGCTCATAGGGTAAAAGGCCAGAGGGCCTTCCCCTCCCCACCCCTGTTTCAGTGGGTCTGGGGGTTCAATGTGTCCTTGGTGCAGGTCACAGAATTGCAGGTCTGCAAGCAGGCACTCTACAGGGAAACACGCTGAGAGGAACAGGGGAGTCTGTAGGGGCAGGACAGGGCTGGGGAGCCCAGCTTCCCCGCGGCCAGAGGGAGATGGTCAGGCTGGAAGAGGACTGCAGGGTGGGGCTCTTCTGAGGGCACAGTCAGTGCCCGCTCGGCTCGTCTCCAGGTGCACACTCATGAGGAAAAATGGCCTTGGGTTTCTCCACTGTCCGAGTCACTCATCCCCTCGCATGTGTCCACTGCTCACCCTGCCTAGCCAGACTGAGAGCTCTTGATACTGATATAGATGAGTCAATGAACGAACAAGAGAATGAAGCACACCCCATGCCAACGAAGCCAAAGGGAAGCCTGCTGGATATGGAAGGCCATGACCCCCGGAAGGAGGATTCTGGAAGCTTCTGGAAGCCACGGGCATGGCTGGATCAGACCGTGGGGGGGGCAGTCCATGATGGGGTGCTTCTGACTGTTCCTCCCAGCGCAGGTGAATGAAGGGCTTACTATGCTTGGATGAGAAGTCACCGAGGTCCAGGCAGGACAATGCCCCTCCACCCATGGCCAACCTTGGTGGCAGAAAGAGCCCTGCCAGAGGACTGGGCCCTTCCTGGAGGGGTGGGAAGGTAGAGGGAGAGGAATGGCTCTAGGGAATTGCCAAGGAGGGGGTCAGAAGGCTTACTGGCTAGAAGAACCTCGCTGTCTTCTCTTGTCTCTGTCACACACAGCCTGTATGCACAGGCATGGACACACATATGGACAGACACACAGACATGTGACCATACATACACTCCCATCTTCCCTCCACACACAAGACCCTCCTGGGCAGTCACGAGCCACACAGATACCAGGTGCAATGTCCTCACAGAGGTGGAGGCCACGGAGATGACAGCTCTCATAGCGGGGCTGGCCCCACTGATCCCCAGAGACACGCAGGCCTTGAGCTCCCTCTCTGGAGGCTGACCGCCACACCACGCAGGCGCACACACTCACTCACACCACTCACCAGCTCCAACCTCGCGAAGGCACCGCACGAAAAGGGAGAGGCCACAGGTGCTCCAGCCCAGGGCACCCGGCCCCGGCTGTCTGCGCTCCAGGTAGGTGGGGACAAGCAGGTGAGGGCACCCTCACTGTCTCCCTCCGCTGCAGCCCGGGCCACTCCAGTCCTCACCCCAACACCTCCTCCTAGTCTTCCCCAGAGAGCCCCCCACCCCCACCCCGGAGCTTTAGCCCAGAAGAGCCATCATCACAGAACAGCAACCAGCATCCAAAGCATCTCCCTGCCATGGCCACATCCCCGGCTCAGGAGAAACAAAGCTGAATCCACGGGACGCAGGCAGGAGCTGGCCCCAGCCACCAGCAGGGCCCCGCCCAGCCTCAGAGAGGGGCAGGACACGAAGCACAGCTGAGAATGGAGCTGGGGCGGAGGGGGCGGGGGGAGAGCACTGAGGAGCGGAGCAGGGTGGCCCATTTGGCTGCCGGGCAGCTTGTGTTCACTGAGCACCCGCTAGGCGGGCGCCACGGGTCTGAGCGCTCACCACTGCTCTGTCAGCGCCACTTGGTGGCAGGAGCGGGTGGGGCTGCGAGAGGCTGAAGTTCTGGGCCCAAACTCCACACTGGTGAGTGACAGAACCGGGATCGGTTGCCAGGCAGGCCTCACGGTCTGAGCAGCCATCCTGGGAGCCGGCGGGGGTGGGCCTGGCCGCTCCTGGACGTCTGTTTACTCCTCTGTGAGATGGAGGAGAGAGCACCCAACCTGCCCTCCTGCAGGTGAGGCACCTCGAGGACCTGGCGAGTCGCCTGGGGATCGGGGTTTGCCCAGGGTGGCCTGGAGTTAGAGTGATGTTGTTATTACCCATAAACAGAGGGGAAGCAGAAACCTCAACGCTTCATGCTCCAGCCGACAGCAGCCTCAGCCCCACGGGAACCCAGTCCTCCGAGAGCTGGTTGCCATGGCTACACTCCCAAGGGTCCCAGCCTGCCAGCCCCCAAGCCCCCGCGCAGCCCCCAGAGTCTGCTCTTACATGCGTGAGTCCTCGGGGAGGGCGGGGTGGGCTAACAGACAGCTGGGCCCCTGCCCCCAGGCGTGCCCAGGCAGGGGGCAAAGCCCCTGGGGCTGTGCCTTCACCGGGAGGCGCCAGGCTTTGTCTAGTTCCTTTCTGCAAATGGCCCATCTGCCCAGACCTCTAGATGTGATTCAGTCACCTCCCCCTCTCACGAGGCCGGGGTCAGGGAGAAGGAGGCGTATCGAGCTCCCACAAACCCCACACCCCCTTGGTTCAAAACCCTGCACGCCATACACAGCTGGGCGTTCTGGGGTATGTGGCCCCAGCTTTCTGCGCCCGGATCCCCTCTTTGCCAAAATAGAGGTCGCAGCGAGGTTCCCAGGTTGTTGCCATGGAAACAGAGTAAGACTGATGCCCAGGGGAGCACCACCTGTCCACACAGTAGGGGCTTTACAAAAATGGGGCAGGATGCAGGATGCAGGCGAGGGACAGGAGGCGGTGACACCTCGGCCTCACAGCCCCCAGAACCCCACTGTGCCGGGGGCAGGGACGGGACTGGGAGGAGGGGAGCAGAGCTCTCGGGCCAGCCTGTGCGCAGTCTTGGTGTCTGAGCATGGGGGATTACACCCCCAGGCCCCGCAGCCTGTCCCCACTTTCGACCAGGATGGGCCCCCAGCGCTGGCTGGCCCCTTGGTCGGGGGCCGGCTGCGCTTGGCACACCCCTGCGTTCCGGTCCCCCCTCGGCCGGGTGAAGGCTGGCGCTCGTGGCAAACTCCCCCACTGCTCCCACGTCCATTTGCTCGCTGCGGTCGCGTTAAACAGACATAAAGAGCTTGGCACGTCCCTGTCCCTTGGTAAGTTATGATTAAAAAAAGGAAAAGTAACAAGTGGCGTTTACTGTGTGCCCAGCACTTCTGTACTCATTTAATCCTGGGGGCCAGTGCTGAGATCAGCATCGGGGATGGTGACAACTGGCCAGGGGCAGGCACCAACCAAGCAGCAGTGAGGGCAGAATACAGCCTGGCACGATGCCACGGCGACCTCTCTTCCCTGTAACGACTGTTACCCGTTCCCAGTACTCGGATTTGTTGCGGTGACGTGTTATCATTACTATTTCCTTCTGGCTTTGCAGGTAGCAGCGGAGGCCCAGAGGGGTCAAATCACAGGTGGGTACTGGAAGAGGGAGATTTCCCCCTCGGTGCTCAGACTCCAGGGTCCCGGTGCTCCCCACGCCGAAGACCAGCGAGCTGAGGCAGAGCGGACAGCAGTGACCAGGGCCAGGTCAGGACCCGTGAATGGTTCCCTACTGGAGGTCAGCTTGGTCAAAAGACCTGGACAGGGTGGGGTGTCACCTCCCCTAAAATGAGCTCTCTGTTCCAGGCAACCTAGACATGTGGCTTTCGTGACACATCTCATGCGGCCGTCCCCCGTCCAGCCAGGGGTCCAGACAGGTCCCTCTGACGTGCTGGACCTCATATGGGAGCTGGGCCTGGAGGCCTCTATAGTCCCTCCCACCCTGGGCTCTCCCTTTGCCCACTCAGCCCTCCGCCTCCTCAAGCTCGCCCCCAAATCCCAATTCTGCTCCCACAGCAAACATCCCTGTGTTGCAGCAGGCACCTGTCACAGGTGGTCCCCCCCCAAATCCTGCGTCCCTGCCCGTGGCGCCAAGGCAGCCCTCATGGGGAAGCTGCTCCTGAGGTCTGGAACAGACAACACAAAATCAGTGGCAGCTCCCACTCTCTGCTCACCCAAGGGCCGAGCAGGCTCCTGGCCACCACCAGGCCCCCTCAGCAGCTGGACCCAGAGCCTAGGCACCTTGCCAATAGCCCAGACCTCCCCTGCCTCGTTGAAACCACCGTTTAGGGCCCTCAGTCCCCCCAGGTCTCGGGCCCGCCAAGGCAGGGTCTATTTCTGATCCTACTCGGCTGCCAGAAACTCCCAAATATAACGGGTGCTCAAGCAAATCTGATGAACCCATCCATCCATCCATCCATCCACCCATCCACCCTTAACGAGGCCAGTAACTGGAACCCTTCCTGAGGCTGCTCTGTGATGACGCTGCTGGTGACAAGGTGTCGGTGGGTGATTGATTACAGCCAGCACCACACACCGTAGGTGCCAGGTTCCAAGCCCTTTATGTACAATTAGCCCTACGAATGGTCAAGGGCATCCTGGATCGAAAGCCCAGACAGCAGTGACTTGCCCAAGGAGACCCCACAGGCAAGAGCCAGAGTGCGCCCAGATCAGTGGCAAGGTGAAGCCATCACCCAGGGCTCCCCAGCATCAGACACAGCCCAGGCCCTACGAGGCCACCGCCTCTCACAGCCATGCGAAGAGACCCATTATTACTCCCCTTTCACAGACAAGCACTTGGCAAATGAGGCCCAGAGAGAGGTAATATATGTCACATCACACAGCTGCAAGGGAAGAGGCAGCAGCGGGTTTGAGCTCAGACCCGACTGCCGGGCAGACGGAGGCGCTGACCCGACTGCCGGGCAGACGGAGGCTGCTTCTCGGGGCTACAGGGGGTGGCCGCCAAGAGACCTCAGGGGCCCCGCAGGCCCCTGCAAAGAGCAGGGGGCCAGCCCGGACGAGCTCACTTACCCGGGGCACTGGCGACGTCTGGGCGCCTTTCCGGGGCCCGCTGGTCTCTGGCGTGAGGTCCCGGTGGTCCGTCTGCATGTGGCTCTCCAGGTCCTCGGCACTCTCGAACTTGACACTGCACTCAGGGCAGCGGAGGCCGGCGCAGGGCCGGTCGGCAGGCTCGGGCGGGGCCAGGCCGCCCACCTGTCCGTTGGCACTGCGGGCCATGCAGCCGGCACAGAGGCCGTAGGGCAGTCCGTTGACGTCCAGCTTCACCAGGTCCTGCTTGCTACGGAACTCTTTGAGGCACAGGGCACACTTGTAGAGCTTCTGCAGCCCCTGGCCGTTGGGGGAGGAGGCCGCCGAGCTGCCCGCCAGCTTCTGCATGTGGAAGGTGCCGTGGATCTTGAGCTCCAGCGTGGAGGTGACCGTCTGCATGCAGACGACGCAGCGGAAGCCCGTGAGCGAGTTGCGTAGGTCGGGATGCATCTGGCAGTGCTCGATGAACTCCTCCTCGCTCTGCAGGGGCATCTTGCAGATGCGACAGGTGCCCGTGTCCAGGCTCTTGCTGTGGGTCACCTTGTGCTCGGTGAGCGTGAGCAGCGAGGGGAAGCGCTCGCCGCAGATGGGACACATGTAGTGTTTGGCGGGGCCGCGGTGCGTCTGCAGGTGCTCCCGGAGCCCGTTCTCCGAGAAGAAAGTCCGCGAGCACACGTTGCACTTGTGGCTGCCCTTGATGAACTCCGCCTTCTTGCGCGAGCCGTCGTCCTCGCCCGGCCGGATGTTGTGGTCCCGCAGCCGGTGGTTCTGCAGCAGCACCTCCATGGTGTAGGCCGCCCCGCAGATGTCACAGCCGTACATGGGCTCCGAGGCGTCCACGTCGTCCTCGCTGGCCTCGTGGCTGTTGGGCGCCTCGGGGTTCTTGAGCAGCATGCCCTGCAGGTCGGCGGGCTCGGCCTTCTTGGGGGCGGCGGGGGGCACCCCGTTGGCCGTGCCGTTCTCGGTGGCGGCGTCGAACACGCAGTGCTTCTCCCGCAGGTGCTTCTCCAGCAGGATGATGGCGTGGAAGGCCTTGCTGCAGAACTTGCAGTTGTACTTCTTGCTGTGGGTGGTGATGTGGCACTGCAGCTCCACCTCGGTGCTGAAGGTCTCCCCGCAGAAGATGCACTTGTGGGCCTTGGCCGGGTTGCCCAGGTGGCTGTGCTTGACGTGCACCTGCAGGTCGGCCTCCTTGCGGAAGTCCCAGTTGCAGGCCGTGCAGCGGTACATCTTCTTCTCGTTGCTGTGCTTCACCGCCAGGTGCACCTGGATGGACACCTTGGAGTCGAAGACCTCCTGGCACAGGGTGCAGTGGTACAGCACGAAGGTGTGCATGTCCAGCAGGTGCTTCTGCAGGTCGTCCACTGAGGAGAACTGCTTGTCGCAGCTCTCGCAGACGTAGTGGGTGGACGTGGTCATGTAGTGCACCGTCAGGTGCTGCAGGAGGGACTCCTGGGAGTCAAAGTCCTCTTTGCACTGGGGGCACGCCTGCTTCCGCAGCAGCAGCTCCAGGTGCAGCTTCAGGTGGGTCTGGAAGCTCTCAAAGGTGGAGAACTTGAGGTCACACTGATTACAGGGGTACTCGCCATTGGAGATGGAATTGGCACTGGCCGAGAGCCGCTGCCTCTTTGGGGAAGACACCTCGACGTCGGACGAGACCGGGCTCTGCTCTGCCTTGGACTTCTTGCTGTGGGCCAGCGGAATGTTCTTGTGGTTCTCCTTGATGTGCTTGGTGAGCTTCAGGATGGAGCCGAAGATGGGCGAGTTGGTGCAGTAGGGGCAGGAATAGACCTCCATGAAGGACTGCGTGGGCTGCACCACTGGCGACTCCAGCTTGGCGCTGCCCACGCTGCAGTGGGCCTGCTGGATGTGCTCGGTGAGGGAGGACTCGGTGAGGAAGCCCATGGAGCACTGGTTGCAGAAGAAGGCGTTGCTGCCGTCGGGCGGGTTGGCGTTGGGGCCGCAGTGGGAGACGCGGATGTGCTCCTGCAGGCTGTTGATGTCGGCGAACATCTCGGGGCAATAGTTGCAGTGGAAGGCGGAGATGTTGCCAAACTGCATGACCGGGTAGGCGTGGTTCTTGTGCAGCTTGCGCACGTGCTCGTTGAGGTTGTAGAGGGTGGGCATGGAGTCCAGGCAGATCTGGCACGTGTGACTCTGCTGGGGCTTGTCCGCGTGGATGGTCTTGAGGTGGATCTCCAGCACAGCTAGGCTGTTAAAGTCCCGCTTGGAGCAATAGGGGCAGCTGTAGACCACCTTGGACCAGCCCTGCCCGTCATCCCGCATCTTCTTCTGGCCCCGCAGCGGCTTCAAGGTGGAGTCCGGGGTGGAGCCACGCTCCACGGAGGCGCTGGAGTCCGGCGTGGCACTGCTCATGGAGGCCACGCTGCCCAGCACGGGGTCGGGGCTGACGCTGTGGTTGCTGGAGTCGGGCTGCCGGTGGCTGTCCAGGTGGCAGTAGACGCCTTCCACCGAGGAGAACTGCTCGGGGCACATGGGGCACTTGTGCTTCTGGTTGGCGTGGGCCTGGTGGATGTGGGCGAGCAGCACGTTCTCGTCCACGAAGACCTCAGGGCAGTGGATGCACTGCAGGTCGGCCTTCTCGGAGAGCTGCGGGTGGCGGGTGAGCACGTGCTTCTCCAGCTCCTCCGTCTGGCTGAAGGTGTCCTCACAGTAGTCGCACATGAAGTCGTCCTTCTTGGCCTCCTTCTCCGACTTGGCCAGGTGCTCCTTGTTCTTCTTGTGGGCCTGCATGTGGCTCTGCAGTGAGCTGGTGGACGAGAAGCCCCGCTTGCAGACGGTGCACTTGAAGGGCTTGCTGGAGCTGTGGGTCTTCAGGTGGATCTTGAGGTGGTCGCTGCGGGAGAAGGCCGCCTCGCACTCGTGACAGTGGTACTTCTTGTCGCCCGTGTGCAGCTTGATGTGCCGGTCACGGCTCCTCTTGTGCTTGAAGAGGCGGCTGCAGTAGGTGCACTTGAACGGCAGCTTGTCACTGTGGATCTGCTCGTGCCTCTTCAGGTAGCTCAGGCGGATGAAGGACTTGTCGCAGAACTGGCAAGGGTACGGCAGCCCCGTGCCCCCTTCCTCCTCGCCCAGGCCGAGGTCACACCCATCTCCAATCATCTGCGTGGGTGACGCAACATCCTTGCTGGAGGGAGATGAGGCCACCCAGGAGAGTTGTGGGTCGTCGTCAGCATCTGCAGGGGGAAGGCAGAAAGGAGATTAGAGGCAATTCCCAGGGCCGCCGAGAAACAAGGACAGAGCCAGCTTCTCGACAGCTCGTGGGGCTGAGGCCGTGCAGCTGGCCAACGGCGGCGGCGGCGGGGGCCGGGTGGGAGGGAGTCCGGGGGGCCGGAGG